AAAAAAAAAAAATATTGGTAATAATTTCAGTTGGGATTAAAGTCTGCCCATCCAACTCAGTTCTTTAGAGAGAAGTGTTTTGAATTATAAGCCCTATCATTGAATCCCATTTTAAAGTCGTAATCGTAGAATGTGATTTATTGAATGCATCACATTCCTCTAATGCGGATGAATGCAATTTATAAGTCGCAGTTGAAATATGATTTATTTATGAATCGTTCTTTTTTACTACTTTTTTGTATTCCCATTATGGACTTCCTTATTAGTTGCATATAAATTATTATTATTATTTTTCTAAATAATTAACTGTTCTCCAACAGATAATAACTTATTAAATAAAAAGGTTTCTCCTCTAATGGTAAGCCCTTGTATAATCAATAATATTTAATTTCTTTAATAAATATAGTAATTCATTGATGCATATATATACTCAATAGTGCTTTATTAGTTGAATTCTTTTTGCTTTAGGCCCTTAGTAAATATGTATTTTGCTACGTTAAAGAATATAACGCATTATTGTGTATAGAAGAAATCTCTTTTTTTGTTAATATATATATATCAAAAACGTCGCTGTAGAAATATAAATGAAGAGCTACAATTTTAAGATGAAAATTTATATGTAATGAATAAGATTTCAATAGGGAATCGGGAATGTGAAAAAAATTAGGTCTGTCAAATATAAGTCACACTCAGCAAATGCGACTTATAAATCTTATTTCCTAAATGCATCTTACAAATCGCATTTGCAAATCTTATAAATGACTTATACTTATAAATTGCAGTTGGCAGTTGTATAAATTGCATTTGAATACAACTTATACTTCTCATTATATTTGAATTATTGCATGTATAGTAATGACTTTCATCTTGTTTCCATTATGCTTTAGCCTTAAGTCGCATTCTATTAATATGTTTTGCATATTTACATTATTCTTTTAAAAACAACATACATCTAAAATTGTTGAGCCAAAAGTGCATATTTTTGAAGAAGAAGAAAATTCTACTTCGTTCGTCCCATTTGTATGTGATTAGTGTTTGACTAAATAGAGTTTTAAAGATTAAAAAAGACTTTGGCAGGTACATTAAATATATTAAAAGTATCAAATCATCATTTTAAATGAATAGCGGTAAGAGTTTCATATATATATTTTGTTTTCTTTCTCCTTAAATAAGAATGAATTTTTATATTAAGTGAATCCCAACAAGTCATGTTGTTAATAAGATGAGGATGCAACAAATAAAAAATTTCGAAAAGAGAAAGTTTTCCATTTAAAAACTGACTAAAAAGTAAAGTTTACAAAATACGAAACAAAGACACAGTTATGTAAGCAGATGGGATCTGAATAGACTCCACTCCTTGTGCTGTGTCAAATTATAAAACAAAGACTTTCTTAGCAATTCATCATTGAGACAGTGGATAACTTCGTCGAAATCAGAAGGGTTGATATCAAAATGGGGGAAGAGCCATTCAACAAGTTATTTGAAAAGGTTCCTAAATCCATCAAATAAGTTGAGAGCCTTCAATTCTCCGCTCCTTATATCCCTCAATCTTCTCCTCAGTATCTGGTACCATGTCACAACCATTTTTGAATTAAGGTTAATGCTTGAAAATATTGATTAATTGAAGGAAATCAAGAAGATTGATCAATTCACATAGTTTCATTTTCTTTTCTTCATTTAACTGTAAACACAAACATATGCTGCAAGTCATATATCTATCCCATTACGTTTGGTCAGGAGAAAAAAAAAAAGGACAGCCCGGTGCACTAAGCTCCCGCTATGCGCGGGGTGCATTTCTGCAAGAGGTTGTTTCCACAGCTCGAACCTGTGACTTCCTGGTCACATGGCAGCAACTTTACCAGTTACGCCAAGGCTCCCCTTCTATGTTGTCATGAAATTCTTAGACCGATGTGGACTTGTAATATAAGTACAATATGGAGCTCGGGGAATGGTAGTTTAATTAACTAAGTACATATTTTGAATAGATTTGTTGAAATGAGAAACATAGTCTGTACTTACATATTGACTACGGAAGAGTATCCTTCGCTCACTTGTACACAGGTCCACTGCAAGCTGTTTTAGAAACACTCTTCTGTTTAGTTGTTTTGGATTTGTTATGTCGAGATCCATTTCTCCACTTGCCTGTCAGAAGATATGATAGTTATTGAGCATGGGTAAATGCAATGGGACATATTTGTACATGCAAAGTTGCAGATCTACAAAGGTATACTTCTCTAGATCATCTCTAGAACTCATGTTAGTGTGATCAGCGGGAAGAACAAGCCATATGCCAATAAATACAACACCTATATAAAAATATGGTCCTCTAAAAATGATAGAAGATTTAACCTAAGCAGTCGTCCACCCCAACCACTTAAACTAAAGATAGTCGGCGGATGTATAATCTATATATAAGAATTATATAATATGTGTATAACCGTATATTTTCTTATATTAATGTGTATAACCGTTTATAATCAGTGTATAATCTATATATACTGGCTAGAAAAAGTAAACAATTAATCCGACCGTCTATTTGTGTAATGGTCCCAAATACCTAATCTTCTACACAGACAGGAACTTCATAGCTACACGCTAATTTAAAAAAAAAAGTTATTCCTCAAATATACAAAATCATTTTTGATCCCGTTAAAAGCTCTCCTATTTCTCTCTTATAGGAAAATATACGAATTAGCCGAGGTGCGCGCAAGCTGACCCAGACACCACGGTTATTTAAAAAGAAAAACTCTCCTATTTCTTTCTTTTCGCGGGACCCACATGCCGGATAGTGAAGCAACATCCCATGCTCGGCACCCATGTAGTGTGATTATAAAACTGTATTACTTAGGGAAGTAATTTACTACCTGAAGGAATTTGGAATACTTTGATATGCTGGATTCACAACTATCCAGAATAAATTGCAATGCTTTTTCTTCTATCTCCGGGTACTTCATATCCTTCTTTGATGTTGACTTATTCGATGCTGCAGCAGACATCTGGAATAAACTTAGTTTTAGAATCTTTTTTCAACCCAATAATGTATTTGAACCTTGCAAAGTTAAGATTTATCATACCTCTTCAAACTGTCTGCTCATACTAGGTGGACTGACTACTAGATAAGCAAAAGCCATCAACTCCAATGGCCAACCAGTGACTTGTATAGGAAAACATTCCGATCTGTTCAAGGTAGATGAGAATTTGAAAGTCAATGTTTTTAGACATAAACTGCAAAAGGACACCAATATCTAGGAAAAGCTGGTATTTTTCTGATAACAAGGAAGAACAGCCAGAAGGTATCTACAATTTGCCAGAAATAATTCAAATTAGAGAAATAATATATCCTAAAGTATTTAGTTCACCGTATTATGGACCAGTCTCTACAAACGAGGTACTCACGCTGATAACCCATGCTTCTTCAGAGCTTCCACTTTCTCCTTGTAACATTTATCAGATTTCTTAAGTGAAAATGACAACTCAACTGAGTCACTAGGATTGGTGCCTTCTCTAGGAACAAATCCATATGAAAGCAAAAGCTCTCCATTAGATTTCCTTCCATATGATATAAAAACCTGTAAAATCACAAGCTTACAAGTTACTTACACAAGGCATGAAGGCATTGTCTAATATGAAAACTCAAAATGTCAAGTGGTTCTACGATGCGTGCATCATGAAAGTAATTACATTACGAAGATAAAAGATTTTATGTTGCATACTTGCTAGGCTTATAAAAATAAATAATAAATAAGTGCGAATTCTGTTCAGCAAGGAGGTTACTAAGAATATATTAGTATATGGCCCTCTCTAAGCCCCAGTGCAGTAATTTTCTAATTTGAGTTAACTATTAATGTTGAAGATGGGGGATCCAGTAGTTTTGACAATACAATAATTTAGCTAATCGCTTCTAAGAAATCAGAATAATGTATACCTGCTCACCTGGCTGATATGCCCTGTCCGTTGTAAAGACAATTCCTTGCGATGATTTATCATAGTCAAGAAAAGTTTCCACCTTGTACAATTAAAACAGCTGAAAGAATCAGACTCAGAATTATGCCATATATGTCAAGTACAAACATTTTCACAAAAGTGCTATTCACAACCTCACAATTATGATTCAGCATATCTGCCCAAGGAACCAAGGCAACTCTTCCATCCATAGAGGGTAATCTGACCTGTGAATGCATAACCAATTTAGAAAGCATATCAAAGTTTCTCATGAAGTAGATCTTTAGCATAGAGTAAAAGAGCGATTACAAAATCTCTTTTTCTTTTTTAGTATATCATTTCACTGAAGACTCCACAGCTTGATTTCTGCATTCAACTTCTACCAGTTTTCACATCCAAATTGTTTACTTCTTTTTCCTCCTTTTGTGAGTCTAAACATGAATGACAGTAGAAATCACACTAGAAATAAATTTCGTGAGCCCTTTCTTTTATAACCTATGCATCCTCTGAATGCTTCTTGTTAATGACTTCCCACTTATTTCATCAAAAAAAAAATTGTGATTCCCATGTATGAAACTCACCAAACGTGAGAAGAGAATTCCAAATGACCAGTTGAAAGTCTCTATGTTGAATATCTGCAATAACATGCAGCAGAAATTTGAACAAGATCAGGACACACTAAAGAAAAATAGCAGTAGGCAGAGAAAAGTCTCCCCTTTCTAGTTAATTGTAAAAGAATAATGCATCTTATTGTAAAAGAATAATGCATCTCTTGACTTCTCCTGAAGACCATAAATCATTGCTGGGCACTTTCTTTTCAGAACATGTTCAATAAGTTATCAAAAGGGTTGATCCTGGTTAGTAGAAGATCAAGTCCGATGATCTATAGTAATGTACTTGTCATTTATAAGACTCTTGTATAAGGCTGCAATATGTAGACGGATCTATTGTGAAACAAGTGATTCATTCAAAAGAAACTTCGCATTTGATTGCTCCACTTGGTCATGACGCAGAATCATCATTACCTCAGGACTATACGGTCTTACAATTTGAAGTCAAAATTGACTATGTCACATTGATAAATTAAAATGGCCTCTAGGAAATGTAGCAGCTCCATCATATCTTCTCACTTCACATAGGCAACCATTTCCTCCCAAGAATCTTTACCACATCATCAAGAAACAATATAATGACAAACAGATAACATTTAGCTGGCCTCAAATATTAGCAAGTCATTATGATTGTGTACCTCTTCAGGAAATAAATCAGGATGTTTGGAAAATATTCTGAGTCTTAAATCATTGTACCTGCAGCCGAGATGATGAAGCAAACACTAGTCAGCAAGCACAACGATGAAAAATAAATGAATTATAAAACATTTCTTTTCTTTATTCCTTGAAAAATTCAGCTTTAATCCTAGAGATATCCGACTAAGCAGGTTTAACTTTCAATTAATTCAAATGTGCACTTCTGGTTCCCCCCTAGCAACAGATTCTTGCAAATGCAATGAATACTTAACTATTAGACTATGCGATTGTAACGTAATATGCTAAATGAGTGGTATTTTCGGTACTTTTTCTTTGTACTATGATGACAGAAGTTTTTCGACATGTTATTTGTTCTTCTGATATCAATTTTTTATTTTCCTCTTCAATAAAATAGCCCACCCTCACCGTGACATGTAATAGCTAGATGCTGTAATAGTGCGATTATGCAGGAATCGGTAGTGGAGTGTCCAATGAATCAGTACAATTAATTAGTGTGAGAAGGCACGGGAGAAAATATGTTATTGATATTGGATGATAAATACAATACAAGAGGTTCCTATTTATAGCTATACACTACAAGGAGATATTACTCATCTTCCAATATGGGACAAGACTGCACTATACATATCTGTAAACTAACACTCCCCCTCAAGCCGGTGCATACACATCATATGTACCG